GGGGGGCGCATCTGGTGATACTGGTTTCTTGCTGTCTTCTTCAAACACCAGCAATTCTTGCTGTTATTTTTGTATAATCAGGTCTCTGAAGAAGGCACTCAAGGGATGTCATTTTCTGTTAAATGCATGTGCAGCAGGGTGTTTGTGATAGGTCTTACCAGCAAACATGAAACTGTATGATAAAACCCATTCCGTACTTATGTAAATGGGCCAAAATCATGCTCAGAAAATCTCCCAACTGAACCACAATGACAACAGCATGAACAAAACTTATACAAGACTACAAGCATCATTTACAAATCCCTATTATAACATTAATTTAACATTACACAGCATAAGCATTTGAATCATTCATGAAGTGTCTATTCTACAAAGGGATCCTGTCTGTGCAACAGATCCCAATACAGTACAGAGAGAGTATTTGTATTCATATGTTTGAAAATTCTTACAATCTGTATTTGTTCTTTAATCTGTTGTCAACTATAAAATAAACTGTTTCCACAGTTTCACAAACAACCATCTCTATTCTGATGAAAAAAGTCACTTGATACTGACACGTATGACTGCATATATAAAAAAAAGATTCCGAGTAAAATGCAAATTAATATGACATCATATCTTACAAGGAACTTGCTCTCAGTTTTAATTTACACTGTAAAATCTGCTTCAAAAACATTGTATTAATTCTGCAGTATAAATTATTTCATATTAAAAATTCAGCTGAAGACACGCATATGGGACTCCCTTCTTGTATATCCATATAACAAAACTTACAGAACAATCATAGTAATAACATTTTTGAAAGGTAAAAATCATTAACTCTTTTGGCTCAACTATAAAACATGGATTAAAATATATAGTGATATATCTTAAACATATGTGACACTACTCTAAACATAACGAGTCTTTTTACAAGTAATTCCTACTTGCACTAACATGCGCACACATGTAAAGATATACAGATATAGTTATATAGTATAAAAAAAGTAATGTAAATCTGTCCCACTATGCGCCATGTGGGTGCTTGGGGAGAGAGATGGTAACCAGACTCATATTTCTACAGTTTTTGGTTCAATCCTTTGACTTTGAGACAGTATTTCCCTCATCAAAAAATACAAACCTGAAATGGCCATGAAGACAATTCCTTTTGCTCCCAGTAGTACAGCCATTTCCACTCCAGCTGATTCATTAGTTTATCACAGTTATTAAGATTATAATTCTTCATAAGTGTAGCCAAGCATAATATGCAAATAAACACAAAAATTGAAAATATTCCAATACACAAAACACCCTTTCTTGCACCAAACATCCAGTCTTATTCCGCGTATTCACACGATTACACACTCACAGCATGTAGCACTGGCCATGAAGTGTCTCGAGTGTCTTCCAGGAATCCGTTTGTCCGAAATTCCTCAAAACAAAGAAACTTTTTTGTACACATTACAAAATAACTAATCATCTGCTTGAAATAAGGCCTATTATTGGCCACCTAACAGTTGCAGAATTCATGTAAGTCCCCAATCAAATTAAGTTTAAACTAAATGATACTAAATGCAAGGGAATGGCAAAGTTTTTACAGTTCGGTGGGCTTTATGAAATGGGCTAGATTCTGACACATAAGTTCCCAAGTATCTAACTACCCAGACATCTGACTTAATCAGACACACATAAGTTCCAAAGCACCTAATAATGCCCGGCTCAATAACGGAATTGTCAAAGTACCCAAGAATCTAATTCCTCATTCAGTCAACACACAATTTCCCATGCACCAAGCTTACAGGTCTGTTACTGTCTTATCCTGTAAGCCAGGCACTAGCACCCTTAGCGACAGGTACCTCATCCTGTCTGCAACATCAACACTTGTCACGTGCTGAAAACAGCAAGGCTGTGATATGTGACTCTTTGCAGGTAGGGGCTGAGGTTTGGGAGTTCTTCGTGGCTTTTTTCCCCGCCTGCCTGGCACAGAGAGACTTATATTCTCTGGGCGTGCTGTGAGCCTCTCCACATGACCCCACATCTCATCTGCGGCCACTAGTGAATCGAAGCTAAGTCCCACAAGAACACTGTGGTCTGATGACAAATGCATCGTGTGGAATGCTTGACCAGCAACACGGTATGAGCTCAAGTTGTCAATTATGTCTTGCCAGAGTGTGAAGCAAGTCCCTCGTTCTGCCAGGACAATCTGGATGCGGCGCTTGTTCCGGGACCGGGTCTCACCACTGTCCAGCACGAGCAATGGGATGCCCATGTGGCTGAGCTCCCATTGGCCTTCACATGATGTGGAGCCCAGGTACAGGTTTGCCAGTGAGCCACAGACAAACACCTGGAACAGAACAAACTTTCTTTAAAGAATCTGGAAATATTAGCAGTTTTAGTAACAGTGAATGAACATATTCCTCCAGTCTTCTGCCTTGCTTGCCCAAACGTTTTCCAGCCATAATTCTGTACGTCCTCAAATAAAAATGAAAATGGTTACGATTCGCTGTACCTGCGTCTTGAGACCTCTGAAGAAGGTTCCGACTTGTAAGCGCTCCTGTTCGGTAACTTGGAGTCGTTCTTCGGCCGCTGAACTGCTGCTGCTGCTGCTCACATCGGTCGCCGTCTCTGAACCATCGAGTGAACTTACGCGACGCCGGTTCTGCTGCTGCAGCAGAAAGCCGTGGTAAGAGTCGTATTTGCTCGTCAGATGTCGCACCGCTCGCTCCTCGACAGCTTCCTCGGGAACGCGCTTTTCGAGTTGGGGACAAGACGCGTATTGGAGGCCCCCGGCTTTCATGGTGTCTTGTGCTGTAACATTCACAATCGTGTTCATATCTCATCCAACGCTACACAAGTACTCCAATGGGGCATACAAGTTCTTAAATTAGTTCTTTACTGTTCTGTATATCTCACTGGCGTTACTGTTACCAAAGACGTTTAAACCGAAGAACTAGCAGGTCTGGGTCGTTGTTTCTTCAATGAGTAATTGTGAGGCACACATAATCGGCCCACTTCTCATATGGGTGGTGTGTCAGAAACAATCGCGTGGGTGGTAACTGTAACACGAACAGGCTTTTGAGAAACCCGGCAGTTGGAAAGATGAAAGGGCAGTTATAACCAAATACGTCCGAGAGGCTCTTCGGGCATAATTCGAAGCTTGAACCTATTTGTGTTTTGCGGTCTGGAGAAAACTGACTTAATCAGGAGCTTAGTAATTATAAACCTGCTCTCTGCCCAAATACAGCCACGAAATTAATAATAAGACGAACAAGACATGTAACACGCATACGAGGTTCGGGAAAGACATGCAACGTTGTGACTGGAAATTTCCAACGAGGCAGACCACCTAGGAAAATTGAAGGCAGATGATAATATTACAATGGATCACAAATAATGTGTAAACACAAATGCATTGAACTGGCTTACAACACTGTCCAGTGTTGAGTTTTGTGAAAAAAGCGATGAGTTTTGAGGATCTGTAGCAGCTGAAGCCCCAATCCTGTACCAACAGTTGGGTTCTGAGTTGCTGCGCTGACTACGCAATAAACTGGAATGCTAGCTGCAAAGCTGTTTCCTGGAGCAGAAACAACCGTTTGTTACCTTGTGCCTGGTCACAGCGATCTGCCCACTTTATCAACAACCCCCAGGCATGAAATACTCACTCGTAAGACACGATTGTTGCTGGGAAAGTATTCCGAATCAACACACGCTCGGCTGGCAAGAGAATGAACTGTGAAGGGTGTAGAAGGAAACTGTCGTGGCCTATGTGGAACAAGTATGATTCAAACTCGGTGCCCCAGTGTCGGTTTAAGACGATGCAGTCGCTGCCACCAAGATCGCCTTATTTCAGATAGGCC